AGACGAAACGGCTGAAGCTAGAAGCTAGAAATTTTGCGTGAGGGTTGCGGTTGGTGTGTAGGCGTGAGATAAGGCTGGGTTTTTGGAAATTCGAACTAGAAGGGTACGAAAAGTACTAAAATGTACCAAATATGGTACCCTTTGTATTAGGCGAACGGGAAGAGCTAGAATTCTGAAATTTGGCATGTGGGTCACTGATGTAAAGTTAGGAAGATTTGCAAAAGGGTTTTTGGAAATTCGTACCAGAACGGTACGAAAAGTACTAAATGTGATACCATTTGTATTTGGCGAACCGGTAGAGCTATTTGGATTGGTGGTCGCTGAGTGTAGGATAGATGTACCAAAGGGTTTTTTGAAATTCGAACTACAAATATCCGAAAAGTACTAAAATATACTTAATTTGGTCTATTTAAGGAGATGGTTTTGAAAGCGTGTACTTATGTGTACGAAAAGTACTATATGGGTACTAAATTTGGTACAATTTGAATTTTATGCGAACCAATAGAGCTAGAATCATGAAATTTGGAGTCAGGATCACTGTTGGGGTGTAAGATCGAGATATGTAGGAAGTTTTAAACATTTTTACTAATGTGTACTAAATTTGGTACAATTTGATTTGTGGGTGAACCGATAGAGTTGGAATCCAAAATCATGGATTTAGGATCACTCTGGGAGTGAAAGTTTGGGTTAGGTGGGACGTTTTGGAAATTCGCACTACTGTGTACTAAATGTGGTACAATTTGAATTGTGAATGAACCGATAGAGTTGGAATCTTGAAACTTGGATTTAGGATCACTGTGGGGGTGTAGGATTGGAGTCTGTAGGAATTTTTGTAAATTGGTACTACTGTGTACTAAATGTGGTACAATTTGAATTGTGGGCAAACCGATAGAATTGGAATCCTGAAACTTGGATTTGGGATCACTGTGGGGTGTAGGATTGGGGTATGTAGGAAGTTTTGGAAATTCGTACTACTCTATACTAAATTTGGTACAATTTGAATTGTGGGCAAACCGATAGAATTGGAATCCTGAAACTTGGATTTAGGATCACTGTGGGGATGTAGAATTGGGGTCTGTATGAAGTTTTGGAAATTGGTACTACTGTGTACTAAATGTGGTAAAATTTGGATTGAGCGTGAACCGATAGAGTTGGAATCCTGAAACTTGGATTTAGGATCACTGTGGGGATGTAGAATTGGGGTCTGTATGAAGTTTTGGAAATTGGTACCACTGTGTACTAAATTTGGTACAATTGGAATTGTGGGTGAACCGATAGAGTTGGAATCCTGAAACTTGGATTTAGGATCACTGTGGGGGTGTAGGATTGGAGTCTGTAGGAAGTTTTGTAAATTGGTACTACTGTGTACTAAATGTGGTACAATTTGAATTGTGGGTAAACCGATAGAATTGGAATCCTGAAACTTGGATTTGGGATCACTGTGAGGTGTAGGATTGGGGTATGTAGGAAGTTTTGGAAATTCGTACTTTTCTATACTAAATTTGGTACAATTTGAATTGAGGGCGAACCGATAGAGTTGGAATCCTGAAACTTGGATTTAGGATCACTGTGGGGATGTAGAATTGGGGTCTGTATGAAGTTTTGGAAATTGGTACCACTGTGTACTAAATTTGGTACAATTGGAATTGAGGGTGAACCGATAGACTTGGAATCCTTAAATTTGAATTTGGAATCATTATGGGGGTGTAGGATCGGGGTACGCAGGGAGTTTTGTTGGATGGTTGACGTAGGTACTCTTGGAAATAATGTGTGCTAAATGGAACTAATTTGTGCACCTTTAGAGCTCGAATCTTCAAATTTGGTACTAAATGGTACTCAAATTTAATTTCATATGCAGTTTTCTGTGACTTAACGGCTAAAGCTAGAAGCTTGAAATTTTGAGCGTGGGTTGTTGGTGTGTAGGCGTGAGATTGGGCTGGGTTTTTGGAAAAGTACGAAAAGTTCTTATGTGTTCGAAAATATCTAAATGGAACTACATGTGGAACCTGTACGTTTTTGCTAAAGTGTCGATTTCGGAAAATAGTGCTTATGTGTATGAAGAGTACTTAATGGTAATAAACTTGATACTAAATGTAGGAATAGATGTGGAATTCAGAACTATAGTACAACTAATTATACAGTATTCACGATTTCCATATGAAATATTTTTTTTATTCCCTTTCCGCATACGACGAAGTAGCGGGTACTTTGCTAGTTATTATATATTTAAAATTTTCGGCGAAATTCAGGTAAAATAGCAGAATAACCCAAACATTTTTTTCTGAAATTTCTTGTATAAAATGAAAAAAATAAATATGATGAAATTATTTTTTCGAACCAAAAACAAATATTTTTCCTCAATATCTTGTTTTGTTGTCGCTGTGATTTACAAACCGATACACGGACTTGCGGGATTTTGATATCATTTGATTCATCATGATGTTTAGATTATGTAGATATTTTTAAATTAATTTCTAGGTGTGTGTATTTCATTAATATAATGAAAATATTGATGTAATCTGTAATATATTTTTTATTTTTCTCTTTATTTCGCGAAGATGTGCAACTTTATCGCGATTATTATAATATATTCATATTCTTATTTTACGGAGGAAGATCTATATCAATGGTTTTGGTCAATATAATAAACAGCGTAATTTTAAGATTTTTTTTCTTATGCCCAAAATTAAAACCTCGATAACTTTTGCGCGCATCAACCAAAAATTTGATTGCGAACGGTTGCTGAGTCAGAACATTTTTATCTATATGTGTACCAAAAAATCATTGATGTGCCACAAAAACAAACCAGTAAGGAAAGTAGTAAAGTCGGACGGGGCCAACTATATGATACCCTTCACAACTATGGGTATATTAAACAGGACTATAACATAAAACTGGATGAAAAAAATGTGATATTTATCTAAATGTGAATCTACCTAGATCTATCCATAAAGTATGTCAATCGACTTCAAACAAATATAAATAGGTCATCCGTTGGGCTATGTCTGCACTTCTAGAAAGCGCAACTACGTAATTCTATGCTCAATTTTGTAAGTTGTGCAAAATTTGATGTCAATCTGACTAACATGAGGAGTTTGATGCCCAATTTACTTGAAATCGGGCGAAAATATATATGGAAGCTCTATCCAAATATTGAGCGATTTCAAACAAACATGTCACAGGTTAGGTTATAGTAATTTCAGAACGTTTTGTTCCTATCAGCCTATTGGTTCCTTGGTGCGTCAATTACTTAAAATCAATATATAATAAAAGGGAGCTATATCTAAATCTGGACCGATTTTCACGAAACAAGGCAGACATCGCTCTAGGCCCAATTAAGTACGTTATGCCAAATTTCGTGCAAATCGGAGGATATATAGGGACTTTGGTGCACCATTTACATGAAATCGGACGAAACTATATATGCGAGCTATATCTAAATCTTGACCTATTTTCACGAAACTTGGCAGACATCATTCTAGACTCAATTCAGTACGTTATGCCAAAATTCGTGCAAATCGAAAGATATTTAGCGACTTTGGTGGACCATTTACATCAAATCGGACGAAACTATATATCGGAGCTATATCTAAATCTGGACCGATTTTCTCCAGACTTGGCAGACATCACTCTAGGCTTAATTCAGTACGTTATGCCAAATTTCGTGCATTTATATGAAATCGGACGAAACTATATATGAGAGCTATATCTAAATCTGGACCTATTTTCACGAAACTTGGCAGACATCATTCTAGACCTAAATGATTAGGCTGTACCAAATTTCGTGCAAATCGAAAGATATATAGGGACTTTGGGGCACCATTTACATGAAATCGGACGAAACTATATATGGGAGCTATATCTAAATCTGGACCGATTTTCTCCAAACTTGGCATACATCACTCTAGGCTTAATTCAGCACGTTATACCAAATTTCGTGCAAATCGAATGATATATAGGGACCGTTTACATTAAATCGGTTAAATATATATATGGGAGCTATATCTAAATCTGAACCGATTTTTCCCAATTTCAATAGGGTTCGTCCTTGGGCCGAATAAGTAACCTATGCCAAATTTCATCCAATTCGGATCATAACATGGACAGACAGACGGACGGACGGACATGCATAAATCGACTCAGAAAGTGATTCTATGCATATTCTCAAAAGGAACCATGTGTCTATCTCGTTTCCTTTTGCCTGTTACAAACATATGCACAAAGACATAATACCCTGTACCACAGTGTGGTGAAGGGTATAAAAAGCTGATTTTTTTAAAATGGAATATTAAAAAATTTGCAATATTGCCCATATATATTCGTATATATGAAGCAGGTGCCAGAAGGGGTGGACCGATATTCCCCATGTTCGAACATGAACTAGTTTTGGAAGAAATTATAAGATGGACAAAGTTGAGATGAAATAAAAATTTTCTGAAACAAATTTGGTCCAAAGAAACATGGGGTCTAGGACCAATATTTAGAACCATGATCGCTTTGTAAAAATGTCGGTATAGGTACACTTTTTGCTATGTTCCCAATATTTTTATTTCAAGTACCTGTCAGTATATCTATGGTGGAGGATATCCAAAGTTCGGCCCGGCCGAACTTAACGCTTTTTCAATTGTTATATTTCATGTCATATAAATAAATTATGCATTTTAAATTCATAAGTATCAGGTTTATTGTGTATACAATAATTAATAGAATATTTGGTGCGTTGTTCATTATCACAAACATCAATAATACTTATAAAGACATTGTAAAAATAATAATTAAGTCTCCCGCTGTTCTCTCTCTCCCTCCCTTGAAGCATTATGATATAGACAAATTATTCTTAATATTATCTTACTGAAATCAAGACTATGTTTATTACGGTATCTGCTTAGGCTGGATGGTTATCACTTTCAACCAAGTGGAAATAATTAAATCAGTTTGTTCGGACGTAAAGGTTGGCGAAATTTTTCAATTTATTATTTTGTCCACAAAAATACACGAAAATGATAAAAGGCAATGGAATAGAATTTTATAAAAATGAAATTAACTTCAGGCAAGTAATCGAAAAGCAAAGATTGCAGCAATCTGATGAGGCATTGTTTGTCTGCGATATAAATGATCTTCGTCAGAAATATGAAATTTGGAATCAGCTGATGCCGGGCATCAAACCACACTATGGTATGGATTTTAAATTAATTTTTAATATTTAATTTCATGTTTTTCAATTGTGTACTTCATTTTAGCTGTCAAATGCAATGATGATCCCATGGTCATCAAAACCTTTGCACAGTTGGGCGCCAACTTTGATTGTGCCTCAAAGGGTGAAATTAAATTGGTACTTGCTGAAAATGTTGAACCGCAATGTATTATATTTGCCATGCCCTGTAAACCTTTGACACATTTGGCATATGCCAAAGAGAATGGTGTTATGACGAGTACCGTAGATTCGGAATTTGAAATTTTGAAAATACATCAACATTTCCCGGAGTCCAAGTAGGTGAAGAATTATTTTTAAATAATAAAAAATAATTATAATCATTACAATAGATTGATATTGCGGATACGTTGTGATGCCACCGATGTAAAATTGTCGTTTGGGGAAAAATTTGGATGCAATGCCAAGACCGAGGCACCGGCCATTATGCTATTGGCCAAGAAATCCAGATCCACAATTCACTTATTAATTCAATTCAAATTCATTTTCTTTACTAGGTAATTGGTATTAGTTTCCATGTGGGTACCGGTTGCAATGAACTGCCAGCCTATGATCGAGCCATAACTGAGGCAAGACATCTCTTCGATTTTGGCAAAACACTGGGTTTTAATATGAACATCTTGGATATTGGTGGTGGATTTCCGGGCAGTGATTTTCAGAAGTTTAAAGAGGTTGAAATCCATTGTCTTCGTTAGATTTGTAATTTTTGTGAAAATTAATCTTTCCTTATCTTATTCAGATGTCGAAAATAATACGCTGCTCAGTAGAGCGTAATTTTCCCGAGGGTAACATACGCGTTATTGCTGAACCGGGTAGATATTTTGTAGAATCCGCTTATACACTGATATGTAAAATACATTCCAAGCGTGAAACAAAACTGGCGGATGGAAGTCGGACCAAACATTACTACATAAACGATGGAGTCTTTGTGTCCTTCGCCAATGTTGTTGTTGAACATTATCAGGTTGTAGTGCGGCATTTATTGGTAAGTATAAAAAAATCGACCTCAGACTGGAATTTTGGAAGGATGTTCGCTTCCAAAATGTTTTTATAATATTTTCTCTTTATATAAAAAGTCTTTTTCCAGCCACCTTTTGAAAACTTTTTTTTTTTTTTTTTTTTTTTTTTTTAAAAAAAGACCAAATTTATACCCTGCACAACTATGTTGTCAGTGTATTATAGCTTTGTGTAGCCCCAAAAGTTTGTAACGCTGCGAAATATTGGTCCTAGACCCACCTTTAAGTATACCGATCATCATATCTCGACTAGCTGAGTCGATCTAGACATGTGTGTCCGTCCGTCCGTTTGTCCATTATAATTTGAAAACACGATACAGGGCACAGTTATGGACCAATCTTCACGAAATTTTGCATGCAGGATGGGTTCTGGCCAATGAAGACCCCTATTGTTTTTGGAATAGATCGGTTAATATTTAGGGGATGAAATGGACCAAAAATTTTATTTTTGTCGGTTTTTCTGGTCGCTCCAGAGGCCGCAATTATGACCCAAACACCGCGAATTTTTGCATAGAGAAGGGGATCGGGACAAAGAATAAGTATGCCTGCTTTGATAAATATCGGTCAATATTTAGCGGGTCAAATGGACCCTGGCTTTTGTGTGAAAAATTACAAAATTAGTATTCTATGGGGTATATATTTGCACCTGAAGGTCCTAGAAACGAGAAGTTGATAGTATATTCAAGAGGAGTGGTTGACCTTTAAATTGATAACAATTATATTGTCGTATGTACTCGGCTGCGGGACTTATACATAAATATTCACAGGTGCTTACGTATTAATATATTATTCAGTAATCCATTACCACACTAGAATGTGGTTCAAGTTATGGTCACCGACAACGCCTATAATTTTCGGTGATGATCAGATAATAATTTTGGGATGAAGTGGACCGAAAAATTATTTTTTGGTGTTTTTTCGAGTCGATCTATAGGCCAAAATTGAAAGCCGAACATCTCAACACAACCCACGGAGAAGGGAATCTGGACAAGTGATTGGAAGGGCTGTACTGAATATTTGTTGACCTCTAGTCGGTCAAGAGGGTGAAAATTTCGCGAAATATTGCCCAAGCTCAGAATATAGAACCACAGAAAGTTATAGTTTCGTGAAAGTTGTGTAGGGTATCATACGGTCGGCCACGTCCAACTATACTGCTCCGCTCTCCGCTTCTATAGCAAAAAGTCCAGCTTAGATGAATTTTTTTATATAGAAACAGACTGGCGATTTTTATACCCTTCACCACACTGTGGTACAGGGTATTATGTCTTTGTGCATATGTTTGTAACAGGCAAAAATAATCGAGATAGACCCATGGTTCCTTTTGAGAATATGCATAGAATCACTTTCTATGCAGTCGATGTTAAATTGTAAACAAAGTACAGGTCACATATATAGGCTCGCCCGGTTCAGATTTTAGATAAATAGTCCACTAAAGTCCCTATATATCTTTCGATTTGCACGAAATTTGGCACAGCGTAATAATTAAATCTAGAATGATGTGTGTTAAGTTTGGTGAAAATCGGTTCAGATTTAGATATAGCTCCCATATATAGCTTCGTGCGATTTAAGGTAAATTGTGTACCAAAATCTCTATATATCTTTCGATTTGATCGAAATTTGGCATAGCTTACTTAATTAAGTATAGAATGATATGTGCAAAGTTTCGTGAAAATCGGTTCAGATTTAGCTATAGCTCCTATATATCTTCGTCCAATTTAAGGTAATTGGTGCATCAAAGACCCCATATATCTTTCGATTTGCACTAAATTTGGCATAGCGTAAGTAATAAGGTCTAGAATGATGTGTGTTAAGTTTCGTGAAAATCGGTTCAGATTTAGATATAGCTCCCATATATATCTTCGTTCGATTTAAGGTTAATTGTATACCAATTTCCCTATATATCTGTCGATTTGCACGAAATTTGGCACAGCGTACTAAATTAAGTATTGAATAATGTGTGCAAAGTTTCGTAAAAATCGGTTCAGATTTAGAAATAGCTCCCATATAGATCTCAACGCGACGCCTGTTAGCATACATATGTAAAATATACCCAAAGTGGTGAAGGGTATCATATAGTCGTCCCAGTCCGACTTTACTACTTTCCTTACTGGTTTCTATTGAAAAAGGTCTAGCTCAGACTGGGGTCTGAGGCGATTTTTTGCTATAGAAAAAAATCCACCGCAGATTGGGCGATTTTTATAATAGAGGCGATTTTTATAATAGAAAAAATTTAAATATAATAATACTTGAATCCTTTTTTTTATTTCTATAGCAAAAATTGCTACCTTCGAATGGGATCACACCCGTCCGTGTTTGATCCTTTCCTTTACTAATTTAATAATCTTTCTAGGATGACGATGATGCAGCACCCACATTCAAAACAACAATATGGGGTCCTACATGTGATGCCTACGATAAGGTAAGACTGTATATTTTTCTGATCTTTTATTATATATATATATATTTTTTTTTTTTAATTTATATTTTCAACTTTCATTTTAAGGTTGGTGAAAATCTCCAACTGCCCGATTTGAAGTGTGAAGATTTTCTGATTTTCCCCAATATGGGCGCTTACAGTATACCACTGGCGACACGTTTTAATGGTTTCGGTCCATCAAATATTGTTTACTTCGACAAAGCAACAACTGATAATAATTTAGAGGATTAATTTAGGCTTTATAATTTATTTATAAAAAAATTGTTTTTTCATTTTTTTTATTTACCGAATCCCATTATCAATCTGTCAACAATTGATTCCACTGAATGATGGTGTAGTTTAAAGAAAAAAACTGCAAAAAAGAGTTGAATTAAAAATAACCCACATCTTTGTGTCTATAATTTATTCAAAACAAAAAAAGATGATTAGTTCAAAAATATTTGAAATATTTATCTATATTTAAATATATGTGTGCATTGCGGAACTGATAGGCTATATTTACAATATGATATGATAATTGCACATCTCCCAATCAGATTAATATAAATATGGGCGTTTTCGATCAATGACAATTATAACCTCAGTTTACTTATCACAGTTGTGCCACCAATTCCAATATAATTTTCAATTTAAAACTTTTGTTAAAATCAATTGAAGTTAATAGTGTTTTAAAGACGTAAAAGGAAACAAGTTATATATTTGGTAATAAAAACCAGTTTCAATTTATAATCGAAATTATAAAGTGAATATTAAATAAATCAAGTAAACACGTCATTAAGTTCGGCCGGGTCAAGGTGTGCATTCCACATTTCTTAAATCGGTCGGGACTTTTATATGTGGATTATGTTATTGCATTGAGTTCCAAAACTGGGTGTAAAACTGGGGTAGTAAATTCGACATATCGAAAATTAAACGGGATATTTGAGTGTGGGCTAAAAACCTTAATAATAAAATGGTGCTGGACCTTGTCAAGACACTGACTGATATCGAACATTGTTTAAAAATATGTGTTTTCGCTCTACATGAAAATCGTGGAAGGGTTTCTATAGATGGAAGATCAATATAAAATCTGGTTTATATATATATATATATATAAATGCAGATAATTCTTGAGACAGAGAATATCTCATTTTGAAGACATAATTCGCTTAGGAGGTCTTCTACAGAAAATATACATTTGGAAGAGTTTTATTAAATAGTAGAGACTTCAGAAGAATTTTCGATCATTCTATAGGCAAAAAAATTTTGGCTGGGATCTTTAAGTGTTTTCTATACAACATGTAAAGTAATCTAGAAATATTTATATTGAGGCTATGTCAACACAGGAACCTATTTCGAAAATTCATTGGGAAAGAGCTGATAAATCCATAACAATTACCAAAATGGACCAATATAGACAATTTTCTGTGGCTTTATCCCGGAATGTCAAATTACAACCACTACAATGGAAAAATGGGGCTAAAACTTTCAAAATACCGAAAATGAGTCGGTACCGTTATGTGGGAGCTATACCAAAACGTAAACCCATATTGATAATTTTAGGTTGGAAGCCAATGAGAACGGAAAAAACTAATTAAGGGGTCCCCCCATTCTCGGGGTCAAAATTTTTGTTGATATAATTCGAATCTACACTGATTAAAGAATGTCTCTACAAAATTTCAAGTGAAAACCTCAAAAACTCTTGAAGATATAGCCGATTTATTGTGTCAGCATCAAGTGACGGCTGAAGGGCTTCTCAAACTTTAAACGCGTTTTTCTCTAAACATTTTTTTGCGAATCGGTTCCAAATTTTGTAACGTTTCTCTGGGAGTGTATAGCTCTCGTATGAACTAGGATAAAGCCAATCGGTGAAGATCTTCCTTATTTTATAACTTGGTTTTTGGTAAAAAAATCGGCGATTTTCCAAACTATTTTTTCAAAGGTCCACCATTTTGTTAATTTTAGAGCGAAGTCAATAATCCTACTCTTAACTAACACCGTTGGAATTTTCGGATTCCGATGTTCCAGTGAGGAGTTATCATGCCCGCCATCAAAAATAAGGACTTTTCTTTAATTACAAAAAACAACAACAAAACAATAACAAAATTTTTTTGTAAATTATTTTTCTTCTCTTTTAAATCTTCAATTATATATGTGCAAAGTTACAAACCTTAACAAGCATTTGTATTCATTTACCAGCCCATTGAAAATCTTGAAAAATTAAAATCGAGAATGGGGGGGGGGGGGGTTGGTCCCTTAAAGCAAATTCGTTTGAAAAACATGACCAAAATATCGCATACCTGGGAATTTCCATTACATGGAAATTGACCATTACTTTGGCCAATATTGATAATTTTTGGTAGGGAAATTTCTACTCAATGAGAATCCCAAATATAAATATATGGGCAATTTTTTAACATAGCTGAAGTCGAGGTTCACCCCTTTATAGCTCCCGAATTATTAAAGAACGTGAGAAAAATTGAATAGTTTTGGATTTATTGATCTGTCGGTGGACACTTTTCATGATATTGACCTCTGAAGTTTATTACTTTAATGTAAAAATGGGTAATACTCATCCGAAAGTAGAAATTTTGTGCGATCAAACTTATAAAAAACCTATTTTTTCCGCCGAAATTTGTATATCTGTCATTTGATTCATATGGGTACCCGCGATCAGTAAGCTTTCTTACGTTCCGGATAAAATAAAATCTTTTTCGTAAGAATCTAGAGCGGGAACTGGCCAGGCAAAAATTTACTCAATTTTTCTCAAAAACAGGGTAATTTACTACATCCATGGTACTCAATGGACCGCATTGCGACCATAATTGATGACGAATCATGGCCCCATTTACTAAAAGCAATCAGTTTCGACAAATTGCATTTTGCCCACACTTGTGGAAAACAAATAGCAAATACCCTGACAAGGCACTGCTCTAGTATCGATTCTGGGCAATATTTCCGTATAAGCTTAAAATAAATTTTTATACCCTTCACCACAAGTCCCCATATGTCTTTCGATTTGCACGAAATTTGGCATAACGTATTGAATTGAGCATAGAGTGATGTCTGTCATGTTTCGTGAAAATCGGTCCAGATTTAGATATAGCTCAAATATATAGTTTCGTCCGATTTCATGTAAATGGTGCACCAAAGTCCCTATATATCCTTCGATTGGCACGAAATTTGGCATAACGTATTGAAATGAGCGTAGAGTGGTGTCTGTCATTTTTCGTGAAAATCGGTTCAGATTTAGATAAAGCTCCCATATATAGTTTCGTCCGATTTTAGGTAAATGGTGCACTAAAGACCCTATATATTTTTCGATTTGCACGAAATTTGGCATAACGTATTGAAATGAGCGTAGAGTGATGTCTGTCATTTTTCGTGAAAATCGGTTCAGATTTAGATATAGCTCCCATATATAGTTTCGTCCGATTTAAGGTAAATGGTGCACCAAAGTCCCTATATATCTGTCGATTTGCACGAAATTTGGCATAACGTATTGAATTGAGCGTAGAGTGATGTCTGCCAAGTTTCGTGAAAATCGGTACAGATTTAGATATAGCTCCCATATATAGTTTCGTCCGATTTCATGTAAATGGTGCACCAAAGTCCCTATATATCTTTCGATTTGCACGAAATTTGGCATAACGTGTTGAATTGAGCCTAGAATGATGTCTGCCAAGTTTCGTGAAAATCGGTTCAGATTTAGATATAGCTCCCATATATAGTTTCGTCCGATTTTAGGTAAATGGTGCACCAAAGCTCCTATATATCTTTCGATTTGCACGAAATTTGGCATAACGTATTGAATTGAGCGTAGAGTGATGTCTGTCATGTTTCGTGAAAACCGGTCCAGATTTAGATATAGCTCCCATATATAGTTTCGTCCGATTTAAGGTAAATGATGTACCAAAGCCCCTATATATCCTTCGATTAGCACGAAATTTGGCATAACGTACTGAATTGAGCTTAAAGTGATGTCTGCCAAGTTTCGATAAAATCGGTCTAGATTTAGATATAGCTCCCTTATATTATAGATTGATTTCAAGTAATTGACGTACCAAGGATCCAATATATGGCTGATAGGAACAAAACGTACTGAATTTTGTATAACCTAACCTGCGACAAGTTTCGTTGAAATTGGTTCATATTTGGATATATCTTCCATATATATTTTCGCCCGATTTTAACTAAATTGCACATCAAACTCTTCATGTTAGTCAGATTGACATAAAATTTTGCACAACGTACAAAATTGAGCATAGAATTACGTAGTTGCGTTTTCTAGAAGTACAGACATAGCCCAACGGATGACCAATTGATATTTGTTTGAAGTCGATTGGTCTAAGTCGATTCACATTTAGATAAATATCACATATTTTATATACCCATAGTGGTGAAGGGTATCATATAGTCGGTCCCGTCCGACTTTACTACTTTCCTTACTGGTTAAATATGTTTAAATACATTCTTGCATATCGTATAATCGATGTTCGTGTTGAAATTCTAATCCAGTTTAAATTAAAATTAAATTTTAAATCAATGCAAAACACTATTGAAATTTGTGAAATATATATCTCCCGTATATATTGTTGTCAGTATAGTTTGTTTATATAGTTTATTCAAAGGAGTAACCAACCACCCACATTAGTCCTTCTTCTTCCGTTTCTTATTTGCTTCCACTATCTATTAAAGAGAGAGAGAGAGAGTAAGGCCCTCTTTGTAATTGTGGACTTTCGGGAAAAATTGTCTGATTTTCCATGGCCAATTAAGCTCTGAGCTGTAAGTAATACACTTGAGTTAGTTTTCATTCATACACTGAAAAATTTTCCGTGTTACGTTTTCCCGATTTAAACACATACACCCCCCTGATTTGAAACATGCTATTTTAACCGATCATCCTACCCACTGTTAAATATTGTTATATTCCTAACATATCTGTGGCGGTAGAGCGAGACGATCATATTAACCGATAATTTTCTAAAAATCTAAGTATTGTCCTTATTGTCCCTTGAAGTTCTGTCAATAACGGAGTCGAGTACTTTCATAACAAGTTATATGTGAAATAATCAACATCGAGCATCAGAATAAGTTATTTCACCCCTTTTTCCTGCTTTTATAATTCAGAAATCATCTTCCGGTAACAATGATAAAAGGCAACAGAATCGAATATTATAAAAATGAAATCAATATTGAAAAAGTGATTGAAGAACAAGAATTACGAAACACCGACGAGGCATTGTTTGTGTGCGATTTAAATGATCTTCGCAAGAAATATGAGATTTGGAATCAGCTGATGCCTCGAGTAAAACCCTATTATGGTAATTATGAAATATATTTCACTTTGTTTTCCCGATAACCAACTAAAAAAACACTTTTTCTAAACATTAGCTGTAAAATGTAACGATGATCCTGTCGTACTCAAAACCTTAGCCGATTTGGGCGCCAATTTTGATTGTGCCTCAATGGGTGAAATTAAATTGGTACTCACGGAAAATGTTGCACCCGAACGCATTGTATTTGCTCAGCCATGTAAGCCGTTGACACATTTAGCTTATGCCCGAGAGAAGGGTGTTATGACCAGTACCGTCGACTCGGAATATGAAATTTTGAAGTTGCATCATTATTTTCCGGAATCAAAGTAGGTGTACTTATAATTTTTGTTTTCTTTTTTCAGTATTGTTAATATCTTGCATATATCTGTTTCCTATAGCTTAGTAATAAGAATACGCTGTGACGCCACCGATGTCAAATTGTCATTTGGTGAGAAATTTGGTTGCAATGCCAAGTCGGAAGCTCGCGCTTTAATGCTGCTGGCCAAGGAATTGAATTTAAAGGTAAACTAAATATTTTATAATGAAAATTGTGTACTCGGTTCTAAAATATCATCGGCTGGAGAATATACTGAGTATTTATACAGCAAACAATAATGAAATGAAACGGGGTAATTTTGTTCGGCAGGTTCGCAGCTAAGGGAATTCATTTCGCAAACGCGAATTTGAGACCATGAAAGTGATAGCTATATTTTTCAAATAGAACTTTAAAATTCTGTACAACTATTTCTATGGTGTTTGGCATGGAAAATCTGATATTTTTCCCACGTTACTATATAGCCCCGATCCCAGTTTTGATATCTTAAACATTTCGGCAGTAGTTTCGCATTCTGAGCATCCGGTGGAATAAGAACGTTATTGCAAAAGAGCAGCAGTAATTTGGCATTCGGTTTCTGAGGCCCATGAATTAATGGTATAATACGTTTTTCACGCACCAAGGACCCAGAACTCCAAACAAGTAAAAACGGCATTAAGTTCGGTTGGGCCGAACAGTTGATACCCTCCACCAATTGTTGTGAGACTATGTTATTGTTACTATTATTATTCTCGGTCTTGTGGGCAGCTCTTACAATTTAAAAGACCCTGTTCCGAAATGTTGATTTTCACTTGATATTTTCATCGAATTCGTGGTCTTCCCGTACTACGTGAACCAGCTTTATATACCTTTTGAGCTGGGGCATCATCATCCATTCTCACAACATGACCTAGCCATCGAAGTCGCTGCGGTTCGAGTTTAACGATACAATTCATCGTTCATTCGTCGGCGATATTCACCGTCGACACAGATCGGCCCGTAATTCTTTCGGAGAATGTTTCACTCAGACACTCCAAGAGCTGCTTCATCTGCTTGCGTAAGTACCCATGCTTCAGATCATATACCGTGCAGATCATGCACGGGTGATATCAGTGTCTTGTAGAGTGTGAGTTTGGTCTGGCGAGAGGTGGCCTTGTTTCTAAATTGCTTATTTAGACCGTGGTAGCATCTGTTGCCAAACACTATTCTTCTCAGAATTTCAAAAAATTTTTATTAGTTTTATTTGTGGCGATACCGAGGTATAAAAAAGCTTTGACCACCTCGAAGCTGTAGTTTTCAAGTTCCACGAGTCTACTGGACGTCCTGTGCGTTGATATCATCACTTTGGTCTTCTCGCTATTTACTGCCAGGCCACTTTGGCAGACTCTTTTTAAATTTATATAAAGGTGCCCGCAATGTTGGACCCATGTGAGTAACAGGTGTTGTTTAGTATTCAAAGTGCCATTTCTGTTCACCTTTGCTTCTCGTATGACCTTTTCTAGCACGATATTGGAAAGGTCACACGAAAGACTGTCATCTTGTCTGAAACCTTGTTCGGTATTGAAAGGCTTCGAGAGGCCCTTTCCGAATTAAACTGCTGACCTTGTGACAGTTAAAATTATCCTGCATAGCCGTAATCATTTTTCAGGAATGTCGAACGCAGAAATGGCTTTAAACACCTCGGAATGGATAGGGTTATCGAATGCGGCTTTATAGTCGACTAATGGGTAAAATGTGTCGATATGTTTTTCGTGGGTCTATTTCAGGATTTGGCTCAGAGTGAAAATTTGAAGGTGGATTTTCTAGAAAATGGGGCGGACCTATATCAAAATTTCTGGAAAAATGTGTTTTAACTTCCAATATCTACCCCAAACTTATATGGGGCCTATGTCAAAACACGGACCTATATTCATAATTTTCGGTATACATGTACATCAGACTTCGGGAATTCGGTACAATTTAAATTTTGGGTGAAGCCATAAAGTTTGAATCCTGAAATTTTGATTCATCATCACTATGGAGGTGTAGGACTGGAGTATGTAGGAAGATTTGGAAATTGGTACTAATGTGTACTAAATTTGGTACAATTTAAACTGTGGGTGAACTGATAGAGTTGGAATCCTGAAATTTGGATTTAGGAACACTGTGGAAGTGTAGGATTGGGGTATGTAGGATGTTTTGGAAATTGGTACTACTATGTACTAAATTTAGTACAATTTGAATTGTGGGTGAACCGATAGAGTTGGTATCCTAAAATTTTTATTTAGGATCACCGTGGAGGTGTAGAATTAGGGTATGTAGGAAGTTTTGGAAATTGGTACAACTATGTACTAAATTTAGTACAATTTGAATTGTGGGTGAACCGATAGAGGTGGAATCCTGAAAATTGGTTTTAGGATCAATAGCAATGTTTGTAAAATATATCAAGGCTTTGTCTTAAATATTGCAAGGACTATCGTTATTTCAGATACGGTTAGAAAAACATTTTATTCTGTGGTCTCCGGTAAATAGTTCGAGGTTTCCCAAATGGAATGACAAATAATTAATTGCGATCAACTTTCGATAATTTGGAACTCTTTGATTTACATCTCTTGATTATTTGAAAAATTTTGCGGTCCCTTTAAAAAATTCTGATCGCCAGCTTTTTTTCTACAAATATTCCGTTTTATTTATAGACCCTTGTTCTATACTTATTACCATCTTCTTTATATTTTTCCCCACACCAAAGGTAATTGGTGTTAGCTTTCATGTGGGTACCGGCTGCAATGAACTGCCAGCCTATGATCGAGCCATAACTGAATCGAAATTACTTTTCGATTTTGGTAAGAAGCTGGGATTTGATATGACACTGCTGGATATTGGCGGAGGATTTCCCGGAAGTGATGATAAGACATTCAAGAAGGTAGGTAGATATTCATTTTGAATTTTTTATATAAATTATCCAAAATTTCATTTCACAGATCTCTGATATTGTAAGCCGTTCGTTGAAGCGGAATTTTCCCGAAGATAATGTAAATATTATTGCTGAACCGGGTAGATATTTTGTTGAGTCCGCTTACACTTTGATATGTAAGATACATTCTAAGCGTGAGGCGAAGTCTTTGGATGGCAATCTTGTCAAGCATTATTATTTAAATGATGGGGTCTATGTGTCGTTTAATAATGTCGTTACGGAGAATTATAAAGTTGTTGTACGACATCTGTTGGTGAGTAAAGTCTGCAAATAATCTCTTATTATAAAGTCCTAAAGAAAGTCTACTCAGGTATTTTTTCTGATATATCTATTTTTTATATATTTGGGAGCTTTACTTTTATAGAACACTAGACTGAATTTGGATATATTAGAAACCCCCTGTTGAACTTGTAGAGCTAGGGGAACATCAAAAATCGCCAATAGACAAAAATCTGTTATGTTATATTTCATGATATCAAAAATAGGGCGGGAACTTTATGTGAGAGGGCTATATCAAAACAAACGTATATATAAAACCTTCAATATACTGACAATGGGACGATACTTTTATATGAAAACTATGTGAAAATAAGAACCTATACTGAACCTATATATACAGGCAAGAATAATCGAGATAGACCCATGGTTCTTTTTTAGAATATGCATACAATCACTTTCTGAGTCGATTTATGCATGTCCGTCCGTCCATCCATCCGTCCGTCTGTCCATGTTAAATTGTAAACACAGCTCATTTATTTGGCTCAAGGACGGACCCTATTGAAACTGGGAAAAATCGGTTCAGATTTAGATATAGCTCCCATATATATTTTCGTCCGATTTCAGGTAAATGTTGCACCAAAGTGGCTATATATCTTTCGATTTACACGAAATTTGACACAGCGCACTGAATTGAGTCTAGAATGATGTGGTGAGTTTCGGGAAAATCAGTTCAGATTTAGTTATAGCTCCGATATATATCTTCGTCCGATTTAAGGTAAATGGTGTACCAAAGTCTCTATACATCTTTCGATTTGCACGAAATTTGGCATAGCGTACTGAATTAAGTCTAGAATGATGTTTTCAAAGTTTCGTGAAAATCGGTTCAGATTTAGATATAGCTCCCATATATAGTTTCGCCCGATTTTACGTAAATAGTACACTAAAGTCCCTATATATCTTCCGATTTGCACAAATTCGGCATAGAGTACTGAATTAAGTCTAGAATGATGTGTGCAAAGTTTCATGAAAATCGGTCCAGATTTAGATATAGCTCTCATATACAGTTTCGTCCGATTTTATGTAAATGGTGCACCAAAGGCCCTACATATTTTTCGATTTGCACTAAATTTAGCGTAGCGTACTGAATTAAGTCTAGAATGATGTGTGCAAAGTTTTGTGAAAATCGGTTCAGATTTAGATAAAGCTCCCATATATAGTTTCATCCGATTTAAGGTAAATGGTGTACCAAAGTCCCTATATATCTTTCGATTTGCACTAAATTTAGCGTAGCGTACTGAATTAAGTCTAGAATGATGTGTGCAAAGTTTTGTGAAAATCGGTTCAGATTTAGATATAGCTCCCATATATATTTTCGTCCGATTTAAGGTAAATGGTGTACCAAAGTCCTTATATATCTTTCGATTTGAAAATCGGTTTATATTTAGATATAGGTCCCATATATATTTTCATCCGATTTAAGGTAGTTGGTGCATCAAGGACCCTATATATCTTTCGATTTGTACGAAATTTGGCATAGCTTACTGAATTGCGTCTATAATAATGTGTGCTAAGTTTCATGAAAATCGGTTCAGATTTAGATAAAGCTCTCTTTTCATATGCCCGGAGTTTGGTATAGCGTACTGAATTAAGTATAGAATGATGTTGTTAAGATCCATAGCTAGGCCGATTGACACAACGTACTGAAGTAATATAAATTAGTCTCTGGCAAGGTTCCCTGACATCGGTTCAGATATAGATATATAACAAACACGCGATGTATGTTAGGATAAATATGTAGAATATACCCAAAGTGGTGAAGGGTATCATATAGTCGGCCCAGTCCGACTTTACTACTTTCCTTACTTTATGAATATTTCATATTAACTTCTAAATATATTTACAGGATAACACTAAGGCTACATTGCCAACATTTAATTCGATTTTATGGGGTCCCACTGGAGACTCTTTGGATAAGGTAAATGTACCTCTTTTTATTATAGCGAACCTGCAAAATAAAGTTTTCCTTTTATTCTAGGTTGGTGATAATCTCCAATTGCCCGATTTCAAATGTGGTGACTTCTTGATTTTTCCCAATATGGGAGCCTATAGCCTACCGCTGTCGACACGTTTCAATGGTTTCGGTTCACCGAATATTTTATATTTTGACAAGGCTATAACTGAGGATAATGTCGAAGAGAATTTTAGACGTATGCGTGTTAATTCATATCCAGGTGTTTGAAGGCACTTCAATGTCATTTTTCTGTAATACGAAAGAAAATAAAGAGCACGATTAAAATTTAGAATGGAAATTTATTATTGGGTCCTGCGAATAAAAAGTTCAAATAATTTGATACACTCTATTACTTATTGAAAGATTTGTTGTTATAATCAGACCATAGTCCGTTTCCTATGGAAAAAACTCAGTCCTGACACTCTCAAGAAAAGTCAGCCCTGAGGGTCGTAGATTTTATCAATAACAGCTGGCCTATGGTCCAGAGTTTTTTCTATAAAAAAACAGGAGTCCTGTGGACCTGCGATTTTTTTCTATAGAAAAAAAAACTGCAGTCCTTTGGTCCTGTGAATTTTTTTATAGAAAAAAAAAACAGCAGTTCTGCGGTTCTGTGAATTTTTTCTATAGAAAAAAAACAACAGTCCTGTGGTCCTGCGAATTTTTTTCTATAGAAAAAAAACAGCAGTTGTGTGGCCCGGCGATTTTTTTCTATAGAAAAAAACAGCAGTCCTGTGGTCCTGCGAATTTTTTTCTATAGAAAAAAACAGCAGTCCTGTGGTCCTGCGAATTTTTTTCTATAGAAAAAAAACAGTAGTCCTGTGGTCCTGCGAATTTTTTTCTATAGAAAAAAACAGCAGTCCTGTGTTCCTGCGAATTTTTTTCTATAGAAAAAAACAGCAGTCCTGTGGTCCTGCGAATTTTTTTCTATAGAAAAAAACAGCAGTCCTGTGGTCCTGCGAATTTTTTTCTATAGAAAAAAACAGCAGTCCTGTGGTCCTGCGAATTTTTTTCTATAGAAAAAAACAGCAGTCCTGTGGTCCTGCGAATTTTTTTCTATAGAAAAAAAAGCAGTCCTGAGGTCCTGCGAATTTTTTTCTATAGAAAAAAAAACAGCAGTCCTATGGTCCTGCGAATTTTTTTCTATGGAAAAAACAGCAGTCCTGTGGTCCTGCGAATTTTTTTTTCTATAGAAAAAACTTCAGTCCTGTGTTTCTGCGATTTTTTTTCTATAGAAAAAACAGCAGTCCTGTCGTCCTGCGAATTTTTTTCTATAGAAAAAACTTCAGTCCTGTGTTTCTGCAATTTTTTTTCTATAGAAAAAACAGCAGTCCTGTGGTCCTGCGAATTTTTTTCTATAGAAAAAAAAAACAGCAGTCCTGTGTTCCTGCGAATTTTTTTCTATAGAAAAAAAACAGCAGTCCTGTGTTCCTGTGAATTTTTTTCTATAGAAAAAAACAGCAGTCCTGTGTTCCTGCGAATTTTTTTCTATAGAAAAAAAACAGCAGTCCTACGGTCCTGTGAATTTTTTTCTATAGAAAAAAACAGCAGTCCTGTGGTCCTACGAATTTTTTTTCTATAAAAAAAAAACAGCATTCCTGTGATCCTCCGATTTTTTCTATAGAAAAAAAAGCATTCCTGTGATCCTGCGAATTTTTTTCTATAGAAAAAACAGCAGTCCTGTGGTCCTGCGAATTTTTTTTCTATAGAAAAAAACAGCAGTTTGTGGTTCTGCCAATTTTTTTCTATAGAAGAAAAACAGCAGTCCTGTGGTCCTGCGAATTTTTTTCTATAGAAAAAAGACAGCAGTCCTGTGGTCCTGCGAATTTTTTTCTATAGAAGAAAAACAGCAGTCCTGTGGTCCTACGAATTTTTTCTATAGAAAAAAACAGCAGTCCTGTGGTCCTGCGAATTTTTTTCTATAGAAAAAAAAAACAGCAGTCCTATGGTCCTGCGATTTTTTTTCTATAGAGGTCCTGCGAATTTTTTTTTCTATAGAAAAAAAAAACAGCAGTCCTGCGAATTTTTTTCTATAGAAAAAAACTGCAATCCTTTGGTCCTGCGAATTTGTTTATATAAAACAGCAGTCCTGTGGTCCTTTGCATTTTTTTCTATAGAAAAAACAGCAGTCCTGTGGTCCTGCGAATTTTTTTTCTATAGAAAAGAAAACAGCAGTCCTGTGGTCCTGTGAATTTTTTCTATAAAAAAACAGCAGTCCTGTGAAAAAATCCACTGTTGAACAAAAATCCCACCCCTAAAAACCACAAATAAAAGAAATGACATTTATGACAAAGGCCAATATCTTGGGTTGTATGTACCACAGGCACACTCTCACTTTCGCTCACACACATCATACATATGTACATAATTGACACTTCTCATAGCACTTGAATTAAATTTGTGTTGAACTGGAAAATTAACATTTTATTAATAATTTCATTTTCATTTCGATTTCAATAACCGGAACAAATATTCTCGCCCAGCATGTCGGTGTCCTGAAGTGATGTTAATGGTAATTTCCAATAAAGTGTGTAATTGATATGCCATCGTGTAGAGTGAAGTGGTGTGTGCTAGTGACGAAGTGAGTGGACGTTCCCTCTGCTTGGATCTATGAATACATTAAAATAATTTACAATGGCAAATATTATGCATCGTAAATTTAAATTTTGCCACATTGATGATTATTGAGGTTTGAGGCGGAGTGAGCAAGGGGTGGGGTTTATCAATCAAGGCAACATTATCATTTTAATAAACTAAGCAAGTGAGTGAGTACAGTGTGTGAGGGTTGGTCACATTTCAATATCATGCAATTCAATTAAATTAAATTTCAAATATGTATTTTGTTGAATGTACATGTGTGTGTGTGCATGCTAGCGTGTGCCCATTTTTGTCCTTAACATTAAGTGAGCATCATCATTATGGTTGTCGATGTCGCTGTTGTTGTTTTTGCTGTTGTCTGAATGACCCTTGCCATTAAAGGTGAGAGGGAGTGTGAGCCATTTAAAAGACACAATAAGGATGATCATAAACAAATTTAATTTTTATTT